CATGGGCCTCCGAAGGAATCAACCCAGTAACATCTTGATCACGGGGTTCTAGTCTCCAAAACTGTGAAAAAACATATTTCTGTTTTCTAAGTCACCCAGTCTGCAGCACTTTGTTAAAGCAGCCCTAGCAAATAATACAGATGAGACTATATAGACATATTCCTGTTAGGGTGAGTATGAGTCTAAAGCAATCCTCAACCAACAAGGATTCCCCTTCCAGACCACCTACCATTCACTTTCCTCTTTTCACCTGCAATGATTCATCCTGTTCATGATGATCCATATCTAACTCACATGGGTTTCTTACTGTTGGCCAGTCCCATACCCCCTTATTCACCATCATTGTTTGTTATGTCAACTTTTACCTGCTTTAAATCACTCCTCAGGACTCATTTCTCTAAAGTGCTTCCAAAACTTCTGGAAGCTTATTCTAAATTATTCCAAACCCCTGTCCCTAAACAAAAGATACATAAATATATATGTTTCACACAGTTTCATCTCCAGAGCATGTAAGGAAGGAATGTGGCTCTCCTTAATGATTTCAAGCCCTCCAGATTTCAGTTACCATTGCTTCATAGCTTCTAACCAGTATGGTCTCTCTCCCCATGCCACCCCCACTATTCACTAACAAGTCAGTTTTAGGCTCACCCCACAGGCCAGCCTTAAACGTAGGAGTAGAGGCAGTCCTAGTAGGATTTCAGAGGTCCTCGGTAGGCCTCCATCCAAAATGCTTCTGCCACTAACCTGCTGTTTTGCAACCATCCCAGGTCGGGTAGGTTTACCGTTGGTTCGGGCAGCTTAAAAGGGAACCTTGGTGCCCTTGGCATCATCCCCACAGGTTTTTTTAATAGTAGGCAGTGGAAACAAGCCAGAAGGGGGTGGCAACTTGGGCCCCCTGCAAATCTCTCTATGCTCTTTCTTCTGGGCTTTCTCTGACATTCTCTCTTGTTCTCTTCCTCTAATGGCCGATTGTAGGGTAAGGTAAAAGTATCAGGCTTTTCTGCCCTCCCACCATTAGGAGAGATGACGGAACCCTGCGGTCCTGAATGCATGCCTGATGGTGGGCACCTGGCGTAGGGTGTGGGCATATGTAGATGGGATTCACCTGGATTAAAACCAGGCTTTTTAAGGGCGGCGTCATGGGGACGCCAGCAGAAGAGAAGCAAAGAAGCAGAACGAACGGGAGAGAAGCAGAACGAACGGGAGAGAAGCAGAAGGAACAGGAGAGAAGCAGAACCATGAGAGAAGCAGAGAGAATGCCGAAGAGCCCACATATAGTGAAGACTTGCTGTGGGCTGGGAGACCTGCCAGCCTCCCAGCCCCCCAGCACCCCTGCCTGCTGTGTGCCTGGTAAATCCCAAAAAAAGCCTGCAAAAGCCACTAAGGGCTCCAGGACTCACTCTCCTTTACCCCGTCTGCTCGGATCGTAGATATCCTGCTCCATGTCCTTCTGGATACTTGTCCTCTCATTGCCCAGCCATTTCTGAATGACACCGCCCTTATATCTTCATCCTCCAGGATCAGATGTGTACTTATGCATGCCCACACCATATTCCAGGTGCCCACCATCAGGCATGCTTACCCTGAGCCCACGCCCCCAAGCGCCTTCTGCATTTAAGGTCACAGGTGATAGCCACAGAGGCCAGTGGCATAAAAGTCTGACCATCTTCATATACTCTACACCTGCCAAATTAAAATCCATGCATTAAAATTCATTTCCTTTGGTTTAAATTGTAGGGCTCAAGGAGGCTCAGTTAAACTACCGCCAGAAGGTAAGTCACCACCAGCTATGGATTCCATGGCTAGAATTAGTGTGCAACTGTTTACTCATGAAATAACAAGGGACCACAGAACAAGATCCAGATGGGAAAATGGAGGGCAGAGGACCAGGTGCAGAACACAGAAAAAGGCTGGCCAGGGAAAGCTGGCTGCTCTCTAGCACTTGGGGGCATGACAGGAGGAACAGAAAGTCTCCAGGACATGAAGACAGCAGTGTGAGCTACATCCTAACCTGATGGTGGCAAAATGCTTCAGGAATAACATCTTGTATTTGTAAAGGCGTTAAGAGTTTATGAAGCCCTTCACATATCATACCCATCAGCTCACCTGGCTCAAACTGCAATGAAAAAGCAGAAGACCTGTCCCCCCCACACTAAGGTCAAGGATTCTAAAGCCCAGACAACTATGTGACTAGTTACCAACATTGCTGAGTGGCTCAAACTCCTGGTCCAGCTCTTTTATGGTGAAGCATTCCCACCTGAAGACACAAATCAAGATGTGATCCAAACTCTGAGAATAACTTGTCAAATCTTGCACAAGTTATCTGACCCCCTCAGAGGCTCAGTTTCTCTTCTGTAACATGGGATGCTATGAAGAGCTGACAAATGTATATAAACAGCTTAGCATAGAGCCTGGAACACAGAACACACCCAGCAGACAAAAAACTGTTCTCATTACTAGTATATCAGGACAGAGAACAGTGTTCTCTCCCTGTCACTTGTTAGAATCTCCTAATGAGCTGCTCCCCTACCCCTTCATTTGCTACCTAGGCCTCTCACCAGACTGATTCTCCAATACTCTAAGTATGTGGTCCAGACAGTTTCTTTCTTTTCCCTCTCCCATTTTAATACTTGTAAGTCTCTTAGGTGACCATGATGCAAAGTGTCACAATCAAAAACAAATGACAGGAAGGAAGACAGTGCAGGTTTTCTGATCCAGCAGACCGGGTAAAGGAGGAGTCTTGGAGCCCTTGGTGGCTTTGCAGGCCTTTATTGGGATTTACCCGGTACACAGCAGGCAGGGGTGCTGTGGGGCCGGGAGGCTGGCAGGTCTCCCAGCCCCCAGCAAGTAAGTCTTCACTCTCTCTGGGTTCTCTGGTTCTTCTGCTTTTCATTCTGCTTCTTTCTGGCAACCCCGTGACACCGCCCTTAAAAGCCCAGTCTTAGCCCAGATGAATCCTGTCTACATATGCCCACACCCTATTCCAGGTGCCCGCCAACAGGCATGCATTCGGGACCGCAGGGTTCCATCATCTATCCTAATGGCGGGAGGGCAGAAAAGCCTGATACTTTTTACCTTATCCTACAAAGTTTCAGCGCTATCAAGATATCATCAGCCACTGCAGCATGAGTTCAATCCCCGGGCAGGGAGGTAACCCACATGGCACTGCAGACACCTCCTGTCTCACCCGCTGCTCCCCTCAGCAGTGTATTTCAGTACATCTGCCTGGTCTGCTCACAACTCTGTCTTGTGAATCCTCTCACTTCCCCTACCTCTGGCCTATACCCCAGTTCTTGTATGCATAGATAAATAAAATAAATCTTAAAAAAAAAAAAAGAAGAAGAACAAAAGACAAAGCAGGATTCCTCAAACTGCAACATGCATTCAAATCACCTGAAGATCTTGCTAAAATGCAGACTTGGGTTCAGTGAATCTGTGGTGGGGTCTCAGACTCTGCATTTCTAACACTCCTCCAGGAGACACCAGAGCTGTTCATGTACACGTTGCACTTTAAATCACAAGGATACAAAGATTCTCACAGCACAGAGGAGGATGACGAGCAAGAGGGGACCAAAAACTGCAAAACCTAGTGCATAGGCTGGTCCCTTGAACCCTTCAAATGACATAATACGGAGCAATAAACAGCCTGACACCCAGTCTCATATCAAATGGTAACTTCTGTTCACCTCCACCACTCTAAAGTAGAAGCCCATCAATGCTTTCTTTCTCCTCCTTGATCCTGGGATTCTACCTGGCTCCCCGAGACTGCCTATATTCCATTTCTGGACCAAAAAATAGCTCTTCCTTCAATGCAAAGGCCCTTCTTGACAGACGGTACTTACTTTTCACCTCGGATCCGCGAGTTCGCCTGTTCTTTTTCACCAGGCTGAGATCACCCCTCTGTCCACTTACTTCAGGCCTGTCCACGGGACTGCTCTCTGGGAGAAACACCCAGCAACACAGCACGTAGCCCCACTGCAGGCTTCTGACTTGCTTACAAACCCTACCCAGGGCATAACTCCTTACTCGGAAACTTTCTAGAAATAACTTAAAATTTCATCTCGCTTCCTATATTTCACAATTTCTTTCTAAAAGTCTTGAGTCACATGCTCTTGGGAAGAGGGAACAACAGCAAGCCGCTCACCCTCTCTGGCTGGCTTTGAGGAGAGGCTTTCAATCCTGACCGAAATCAATCCCACCTAACTGAGGTGGGCCTGGGAACCTGTGGTGAAGGGTCAAAGACCACTGCCTTTGGGGAGCTATCTTATTCCTCACCAGGAACTAGGCAGTAAAAAGCTGCTCTTCACAATGAAAGAATCATCCTTAGTGGGGAAAGGGGAGAGGTGAGTTTCTAAGCTCATTTCCTTCTATGATGGTCTCCATAATGAAGTTAAGGGAGTTCTAGAAGCCGGAGGGAAGGCTAATTCTAAAGATAAAACAATTTATGGTTCATTAACCTTAATCTTCGACAGCCAGACCACTGTGCTGGCTCTTCCAATAGATCTGGTTACAAAGCAGCTGTCACATCTGTGGCTTGATTCCCTTGCTGGCAAAGAACGGGGAGCAGAACCCCACCACTGCACTCCTCTATGCTGTGTCCTTCTAGAACACATACTTTCAACATGCCAATAAGACAAAACAAAGCAAAACAAAACAAAAACCTTCATTTTCCCCATACAGATAAGTGCATGATTTAAGAGGCATTTAAATGACAGCCACACAGCAGAGAGCTCAACCAAAGAATATAAGGAAACGTTTTGACTTCAGTTGTATTCTATCTAAATGTTCTTCCTGCAAGATGGGATTCAGCTGAACATATCTGGCTTACTAAATTTAGAAAATTAATGAGAATTAAATTGATAGAAAATTAATCAAATACTATAAGTGAACAGAATATATTTTACTAAAGAAGTTAAGCCATTTAGGAAACAGCTGTAAAAGAATTTTCTGCAAAAGAATTTTCACCCACCACATAACCCCTGTAAAGGAAAATGTCATACCTGATGAGATCTGGTTCTGCACCCTCGTTCATAAAGGATGCCAGAAGTAGTCTCTCTCGAGTAACAAGATCATCCAGTAGGGACTGTCTTCGGTCTCCTTCAAGCTGAGTTCTGCAGACATTTTGTTAAGGTCCAACAGTGGGTGAGTTACCCCATTTTACCCATTACATTATTAATTGAAGTCAGTTGTGAATTGTATAGATGTTAATCAATACTATCCAGAAAAGATCTGAGCCATTTTTCTCCTTTTCCTACACTGGCCTTCAACTTCACTCATTATTCAAGTAAATCCTCACAGAGGAGCTTACATACCCACAAGATCCTTCATGATACTAGACCAGATAAATATTATTTTCCGTCTACTAACTAACACTGAAATGATTACTCCCGTCAATTAACTAAGGTGACTCAGTGATTCTTCAGCTTTTGAGTGATTGGTGTCAGAGTTCAAGGGTATTTTCCTAGATGAGAGTACCCTAAGATACTCTGTTAAAAAAAAGGAAAGGGAGGGAGGTTCTCAATATTTTCCTCTATGTTCCAAAGTAACAGATTTGCTCTACATATTGTTACCAAGAGTTCATTATTTAAATGTTGCAGATCTTAAAGAAAATTAGAAAGAAATATTCACATTTTAATGTTATTGTAACAGACATGCCACACAAAGAATCCAAAACTCATTTGTCCTGTTTTGACTATTACCTACGGCCTTGAACCACATATTTCACTTTCTTGGAGCTATGTTTCTTTATACATAATGTCAGATAATCCCTAACACCTTTTCCAGCATAATCCATAAATTATGACTAAAAATAATAAATCAGGACTAAATCCAGTTTTATATACTAGCTTTCCTGAAGCAAACTACATGAGTTTTTCTAGACTGCATGTATTTATGTATATATGTGTGTGTTTAAAAAAACAAAGTAAATGTTGATGACAAAGAGGCCATAAAGAAAACAGTGGAGGAAGCTAACAAATACTTTTGAAAGGACACACTTGACATGAGACAAAAAATAAGCACAAAAATAAGCCCCCTGAACTGAGTTCTATGTTTTTGTAATATTTAGTACTTATAAATTAATTTATAAATTATAATTAATCACAATTATATAATTCTAAATTGCATGTAATCATCATAAATATTATTATAAATTTATATATAAATATACAATTTATAAATTTATAACATAAATATATAACTTATTTATTATTTATATAACTACCTATTTCTAGTAAACTACTATTTCTAGTAAAACATTAGTGAGACTACTGCTTTGAATTTATAGATACTTTTCTTTTTAAAAAAGTGATATTATACACTATAATATGGCCCAAAAATTTCTGAGAAATTGGCAGAATCAAGTAGTGGCATCACCATTCCCTGGGTGGGGAAACTATGGCCTAGGAAAGATTGTGTTGCTAATTTTGAACAGAAAATTCTGGCTAGCAGGTAAAATAGCAAATAAACTCATTAAAAAATTTCCCCAGTAACAGGCAGTAGTTCAAAAAATCTTAAATCCCCCAAACCAATGTAGCTAAGCAGTGTTAGTGGCTTTGGATATTTAAAAAATAATAATCAATGAATTCTCTCGCATTCCAGAATGCCACACTTTCCAGCATAAGTCACTACCACTGCTTTTCCATTTCCTACTTGACTACAGTAACTAAGTAGTGCATCTTAGAAACTATGAAGTGGCAACTGTAACTAAGAAACAGTGTGCCTAAGTACTTTCTCTGTATTGACAAATGGCCCAAACATTGGTCTTTTGATCAATGCAACACCAAGAATAAATATCAATGTCTTTTAAATTAGTGGTAACTTGTCAATAAGACAGAAAAATTTTCTTCTATCTAAAAGAAACTCCTGAGTAATTAAAAAAAAAATGACAAAAGCTATGGCATGAATTTTACAGAACAAAATATGAGTTTTAAATTGTGGAAATTATTGATTAAATCACCACACTAACTAGTTTTGTCTTACAGTCTATGGTCTATCTGTGGTTTTGTTGGGATGTCACTATCTAACCACCCAAACACAGATTTAACTGGCAGGGGGATTTAAACATAAAAATTAAAATTACAAAGTATCATTAGAAGAAGAGATAGGAGAACTTTTTATAATCTTGGGGAAAATCTTACGAGCAAAACTGAACACTGAGAAGTCATGAAGGAAAAGCTAAATCTGTGTAAAAATTTTAAATATCCACAAGTCAAAATGACAAGCGACAAACTAATCGCCGCAAATATTTTAAAAGGCACAAGACATAACAAAGCACAGAAAAAAGACAAACCAATAACTAATCAAACAGAAAAACTCTTGTTTTAGTGTGAGAAATGCAAATTGAAACATGATGTCATCTTCACCTATCAAGTGAGGGAAACCAAAACGGAGACTAGGCAGATTAGGAAAGGAACAGGAACAGGGTACTCTCAGACATTCTTGGTGGGAATGTAAACAGACTCAACCAAATGCCAGATTGACTTCTAAAGATTTATCAAAATTTAAAAGGCACAATCTTTCAAGAGGAATTTCTCCTGCAGACATATTCACACATCTATACAAATTAGGGACAAAGATGCTCAATGAAGCATGACTTATAATAGCCAATATTGGGACATCCTTAAGTCCATCAGTAAGGAACTAATGCAGCTCCATAACAGAATGTTTGACAACCTTAAAAGAAAAATTAAGAGAGCTCTTTATGTACAGATGAAATGATAAATATGACCACGTAGTGATACTGATATATTGCAGCATTTCCTAAATGCTTACATGAATTAAACTCCAAAATAGTGCTATACCAAAAAAATTAGCTAAACAATGAATAGCATGTTCTTGCAACATTAAAATTAAAAAACTAGATATATATAGTTGTATATATGCAGAAAGTTTCTAGAAGGATTCAAAACAGGTTTTTCTAGGTGTGAGGGAGACTTTACTTTTCATTGAGCTTTGTTTTGCTTGACTCTATCATATGCAAATTAATAAAAACACAAATTTCAGAACCCTGTGTATAGGATGCCTTTATGGTCAAGAGAATTTAATATTTATATATGTGTATTATATGTGTAAATTATATATATTTATTTATTTTACATATTCGTATCCACGCCTCAAAAACTCTGGGATGACAGGAATCAATCATCAATATTGCTGACTATGAAAAATAAGATGGAATAGGATGGAGGTGAGTGAGAGAGAGAAGAGGCACTTATTAAAAACTAATAGGGCCTCCCTGGTGGCGCAAGGGGTTAAGTTTCAACACTATAATGCCATCCACAGCCACAGTAGCACAAGTTCAATCCCTGGCCAGGGAGCTACCCACATGGCACAGGAGACCACTCCTCCTGTCTCACCTGCTGCTCCCCTCAGTGGTATATTTCAGTTAATCTACCTGTTCTGCTCCCCCTCTGTCTTTGGTGAATCCTCTCACGGCCCCTACACCTCTGGCCTGTACCCCAGTTCTCATATGCATAAATAAATCAATCTTTAAAAATAAAACAACTAATAGCAATAGTGTATAGGTAGAAAGTACTTTTTATAAGAAAAACAAGGACAAGTTTTAAAATTGAGCAGACACCAGTTATAGATTTATACTAGTTAAGAATGGACTAACTTACACATCAATTTCAAGAGCAGTAAAACTTGGTGATTATGTTTTGAGATTAGTAACTGTAGAACACAATCACAGTCAATACCAGAAGAGGCCTTAGAGATTCCCAAATCCAAATCTCTTGTTCGCCAGACTGCAGGCTAAGGCTGAGGATGGTAAGTCAGCGGCTGGTTAAAAGCAACACTGAACAGCTGATTCTTTCTACTCTAGCTCGGGCTTTTCTAGCACATGGAAAAATAGTACTGGTAACATTAATTCAGAACAGTCTCAGAGACTTCGTATAAATCCAGGAAAACTGAAAAACAAATCAATTAGGACCACTCCACCTGTTTTATTATTATTATTATTATTTTAATCAACTGAGAGAATAAAACATAAGGAAATGGGGGGAATAAATAGATCAATGATCCTTCTGCATAATACACTTACTACATAGAGGTGGTTGTTAACAGGAGGCCAAAGAATCATCTAGGCAATGATCTCTACTGCATGAAAGTGGAATTATGGTATTGGGAGCAGAACAGCGGGAGAGGGGGTGGAGGTGGGAAGAGGAAGAAGGATAAGTAGAAAATCAGGTTCACAGTCAGGGGTAAATGCTGGGACTTCCTCTCCCACCAACTTGATGAATAACCAAAGAAGATCAGAGAACAGACAGACAAGGAAAAGAAAGATCTAACTACCATAGTATTTTGTCATGGGTGAGCCAATTTGACCTACAATTATTCCAATTCATGGAAATATCTGATAGTAAGTGAATCTGGATCCTGACTTCATATTGCCAAGATGTGTAAGCCCAGCTTGCCTGCAGTGACCTGGTAAACACTGAAAAGATGCAGCAGTGTGAAGATGGTACTATCCCTATATGATGCACACTCCCAATCTAGCTCCTAGATTTTGTCTATATTGGGTAGACAGCTCAGTAATTTAGGTAAGCGTTACTTTATTGGTAGGTGTTACTTTATTGTTCTGGAGAAAGAAGAAGCTTGTAGATGACTTCCTGGTGATATCACAGAAGAACTGCAAGGGCACAGTTGAAATTCGTAAAAATCAGATTTTTCTGGCTCACCTAACATATAACTTTTTTTTTAACTTAACAAACTCTACTGAATATTAAGAAGCAGGTCAGGTCCTTACTTCCTCAAAGCACTGATCACATTTTACAACTATTATTTCAATGCCATCACTATCTGTATGTTCCTTAAATGACTATAAACTCCCTAAGGAAGGACTACTTGTAAATTCTCGATGTAGCAGTAAATTTTACATGGTGAAATTAGAAGTAGCCGCTAACCTCCAAGGAGGGCTCACTATATGCAGAGTATCTTTTACACATATAGTCTAATGCCCACAACAATCCTTACAAGCCAAGTGTATTTTTATAATCCCTCTCTCATGAATGAGAAAAACAAGGCATATTCTTCTCAATTAACTTGTCCAAGGTGACACAGCAAGTGTTGAGAACTAACTTTTATTTAACACACACCATTATGGGGATCTAGTCCTATGACGTGCTGTAAGTATATTTTCTCCAATCTTCACAAGACTCTTAGAAAGTAAGTGTAATTATTCCTACTCTATAGATAATCACTAAGGCCCAGAAAGGCTAAACTTTGAGCCCTGAGGAAACAACAGTGCAGCCTCAGTCTCAGACCTTTCTGGTTCCAAGGTCAGTGTTGTTGCCACCATATAGTGGGGTCCAGACTTTTGGATAGTATGGGGCGGAAATACTTCTAAACAAATTGGGTGGAGGGGAGAGAGCTATGTAAAGTTATCAATTATATATGTTGTGAGTATTAAAAAAAAGACAAAGCTACTATCTACTTTTATAATCATGGTAGAAAAACAAGAATATTTTAACACCAAAAACTAGAAAGAACCATGTAATAGACTACAAAGTAGAACATTTATACCAACATAAAGACTATTTTAGGGCCTCCCTGGTGGCATAGCGGTTGAGTGCTGGGCTGCGAAGCTGCCCGCAGCCTCTGCAGCCCCGGTTCGATCCCCGGCCACCAGGCGAGGGTCCTACATGGCGTGCAGACCTCCCCTGCCACACCCGCTGCTCCCCTCAGCAGGGTATTTCGTCACTCTGCCTGTTCTGCTCCCCGCTCTGGCTCTGGTGAATTCTCTCACCCTCCCGCGCTTCTGACTGTACCCAGTGCTTGTACAAATAAATAAATAAATAAATCTTTAAAAAAAAAAAAAAGACTATTTTGTCCTTATTTTTCTCACAATACCTGGCACTCATGAAAACTACCATAGACAGGTGTAAAGCTTGAGAACCAATTCAGCTCTATTGGAGCTATGAGAGGCAGCCCTAAATCTATTCAGTTAGCCTCTCTATACCTGCATTCATCTGGGTCTATTACGTAGTGATTGCTGCATCTCTCTGCTGACTTCTCTATCTACACAATTTTTTTAGCCCCAAAACAAAATGGAGAAAAGTTAGTTTTTTAAAAAAATATTTCTACAAGACTTCTCCCAAAATATCAAAATACTTCTGATACTGAATCATGTAAAGAGATGTTTAAATTCTCTTTAAAGTAGTGTAGTAGAGCAAATCACTGCCTTTGAAAACAAAAAAGGAAGTTTCACATAAAGCTAATTCTAAGAGTAATTTTAGTGCTGCCTGAAACTTCACATGGGCCTCCTGCAGCACACAACTTTTCTCAACTGGTAAGGCAGTTACATTCCTATCTGAGTGGTACTGTGAATAGAAGTTAATGGTTTTCAGCAAATTTAAAGCTCTCTGGCTGCAGGACTTTGGTTTATACATTGCAAACTAACTAATTCAAAGGCAGCGATCTTTCATTTTAATTTCACATTATTCTTGCCAAGAGAAAAATATTTTTTCAGGAAAGAGCAGTAACATCTTATGCCTAAAATCCATGAATTTAATTGTTTAGAAGGCATTTCAGAGGACTTATCTTTCTGGCAGCTCCTCGTGTTCTTTGGAAACTTCACAAATGCAGAAAGGCATAAATTTATTAAGTACAGCACCATAAACTCTCAACTAACAGACACACTAAGGAAATGTGGTTTTCAAATGTTCACATTAAAAAAGTCACCCAATATTAATTATGCCTCAAAAGAAAGGGATTAAAAAGTCACTCTACTGGCAATCTATGGACAAAAATATTTCTAAGAATTACAACATCATAAAGTATACCTAATAAACCACAGTGAACACTGTTTAATCTTTCTGATGATTAAGAAGATTCTTGAGGATTTGCATTATAAACAGGATTTGTCTTGGCACTGAGCAACATGCCAATTAATAGGGAATTCTAGTTGAAGACATGCCAGTTGCTAGTTGACTGTGTTATTTCTACCAAAATAGTCAGTCTTTAAACAATGGCTTTGAGGCCAGACAGCCCAGCCTTTGAATCCTACCTCATTTCCCAGCTGTGAGGTCCAGAAGTTATTTAAGCCCTCAAAGACTCCTCTCCTCAGTGTGAAAAACTCTTCTGCTAGAGTGTTGGATTCTCTTTTCAGCTTCAACAGTGACTTGACTCAGCCTCAATACTTTGTAAAGAAGGGAAGGAACAACCAAAACTAATAATTTGAGATTACCAATTACTGACAAAAATGCTCTTATAATCTTAAATCTGAGGGATAACTGCCATAGAATTATTAATAATGTTTGGGCAAGCGTTTGGGAAAGGGAAGATGCAGGGAATAGAATTAAAAAGAGGCCTTCCTAATATAGAAGCTACCTCCTTCTTTCCATTGTAAAAAAGAAACGGTCTCCCCCAAAAAACACAGGTTTATGAGCACCCTCATGGGGTAGATTATATGAAATCCATTCTTAGTATGTTCCAGGAGAAATAGATCCAATTACTTGGTGAAAAAAACTACAATTTGAAAGAAAGCTATTATATTCCAGTTCAGTTTTTTATTTCTTCTAGGAAATTCTAAATTATCCACATTAGTGTCCTTAAATATTTTCACAATGTATTTAATAACTCTGGTATTTTTAAACACTTTGAGCTTAATTCAGCAAATTCTGAGCTCAACACAAAAGCAAAGTCTGTAAGATTTCAAAAGATGGTCAAACTGCAAGCATTTGGAAGAACAAAGTCAATTACTATGGCATGCTCAGGACTCTCCACAATAACTAGCATTAATTAATAGAAAAAAAGAAAAGTTCGGGCCTCCCCTGGTGGCGCAGCGGTTGAACGCTGGGCTGCGAAGCTGCCCGCAGCCTCTGCAGCACCGGTTCGATCCACCGGGCGAGGGTCCCATATGGCATGCAGACCTCTCCTGCCATACCTGCTGCTCCCCTCAGCAGTGTGTTTCTTCACTCTGCCTGTTCTGTTCCCCATGCTGGCTCTGGTGAATTCTCTCACCGTCCCGCACTTCTGACTGTACCCAGTGCTTGTATAAATAAATAAATAAATCTTTAAAAAAAAAAAAAAAGAAAAGTTCATAATTTGTTTATTTCTTGCCCTATAGGCTTAAATATTTGAAGTTGCATTGCAATCAGTTACCTTAATGGAAGTTAGCAATTGCATAGTTGTTAATATTGTGTCACGAAAAACATTTACCTTTCTAATATATGAGCTTTAGGTAATAATTTTGCACACCTTGACCTCATCATGCACAGACTTTCTCATACTTAGTAGAAAAAGTGAGAAAACAACCAAGCCAATCTAAAACTAATTGAGGTCTATATATTAAGACCTGTGGATTTTGAAAAAAATAAAGTAACTCTTTATATAGTAGATTTACTATAAGGTACCAAACCATTCCAAGTGGAAGGCAAAGATACAAGTTAAATGTATATAATTGTGTAGTTTTTTTTTTAAAGACCCCAATGTTTCATTGAAATTAAACTTTTATTTGAAATCTAAGTGGGCTAGGATTTTGAACATCTGGAAAGTCATGCAACTACTCTACTCTAAATCATGGTAACATGGTCCTGATAACATGAAGGCGCCACACTTGGAGAAAAATCATTTAAGACACCTTCTATTATTTTATCTACAAAGTCATGGTCCTACATTTCCCCATATTAAAAACTGGGCAGTAACAACCATTTCTGAGATACCAAACTTTGAGTCTTTAATGTGAACCATTGACAATTTTAAAAAATGATGAGAAAAGCCCAGTTCAAAGTCAGTTTTCAAGTCACTATCACCTCAAGTTTAAACAATTAATTTAGGTAACAGGATATATGTGTTTTCCTAAATTGACCAGAATATGAATTTCTTAAAAAAGAAAGTGTTTTAATACTTGATGATGTTGGTGGCATGTAGAGATGATATCAAAACTTGCTTGAAACAAGTTCTCCCTGCACCCCAAAATTCCTAAACTATGGCAGTGTCTATACTAAAGAATGAAGCAAACAAGTCATATCTCAATAATCTCCATAAAGAAGAACAAAAAAGATGTATGGTTTTCTACTAGTATTCACCGCTCAGAAAAGAAAATGGATCATTCAAAACTGGAAACTGGAAGTAGAATCTCAGCTCAGCGTTATCATGGAAGCTGGCCTGCGGTAGCAGCGCTTAACCATCTTCAAGGCAGCCTGCACAGGTAGCGGTGCAGGGCGCTGGGCAACTACAGTTCTGCCAGAGGCATTAGCTTCCTGCACTGTAAAGGGTACACCAAATAAGTTAATTCTTTCAGTATGTCTTGCTTTGCCAGCATATTCACTGTAAAACAAGTAACAGACACTTAAAATAGAAATCAAGATTATAGGCAATATTTTGGAAACCAGGTCTTCCTCAAGCTGTGGAAAAATCTGGGTGGCCCAGATTCCTTCCTTTCTTAAAATAAGACTGCTTTTCCTCCCACTCTAGGACAGAGGTGGAAATGTTTACATGGATACATCTGGTGTGTTGACACAGCTCTTAGCAATAAGTCCTTCAAAAGGGCGATCTTTTCCTTCAGATTCTGCAACAAAGTTCTGATTGTCACGGTAAGCTGAAAAGAAAAGAACACATCCTAAGTATACTGGTCCAGAAGTGTATAATCTACTAAAAATACTATGTAAATGATGCTTAACATTCCACGGTTCGATCCAGGAAGCACTGAAAGAGTTGATTAGCCTCCCAATGACAGCCTCAGGTTTGTAAGGAGTCTTAATGGTCACCTGGTCCAGGCAACCTTTCTAATGTTTGCACTCACTATGCAACCTGACCAGGTGATAAGCCAGTCCACACCTAAGCACCCAAAATGACAAGACACTGTCACTTTGTCCTCACAACCAGTTAAATTCTATCCCCTGAGTGCCTACCCTCTATTTGTCTACCTTGGAGCCATGCAGGAATTTCTGTTTCCCAGTCTTTGTTCACCAGTGAAAACCCCACAAAGATTCCCTGCTGCAAGGAAGACATCAAATCCCACTGCCATTCCTGCCAGTCTTCTCTAAAAGCACTGGTACACTTTTAACCTATCTGAAAGTTGTACAGGAATATGTTTTTTATTCAAAAGGAATGCTGGCCACACAGGACAATTTTTTCAGGGGTGTGTGAATTTTCTTCAATCATTCTACAATCTAGAGGAAATTTTCATGTGTGACTCTAAGTGCCACCTTAAAGGATGAAGGGAGGGTAGGAAGAGTCTCAGAAAATTAGAAATATGAAAAATAAAATTATCCAAGGAAATTAAACATTGTTAACCATGAATAAAATTAGTTATGTTAAAAAAAAAAGACTGTCAGAGGTTTAATTTGCTACCTTATTAAAAGTAGCAATTACACAACTACAGGGAAGCAGGACTCCCTCCTTAGATTAGCAGGATCAAGCTAAAGAAAAACAAGAGAATGTCAGAGGCTGGCCAAGGCCTACACACCTCAAGCAACCCTCCAAGGTATCAGCAGCCAAGAAAAGTCTAACCTCAACTACTCTAATACCTCTGGGAACTATGGAAAAACCACCCACAATGTTTATGGGGAAATGCCAAGGAAAGCAGATCTCACTTCATTCAAGAAATAAGGAGCAAAACAAACAGAAAAAGCAACACACACACACACACACCCCCTCAAGCCTAAGGAGAGTCTACAGAATTAAAGACCAAAACCAATCAAGAGATGAAAGATTATGTAGCCATTAAAAAGTATGATTGAAATTTAAATTTGTTAGCAGGGAAAGATATCCACTATAATTTATCAAAAGAAAATAAAGAGAAAAAAATCAAGTCATAAAATGAAATGTAACCCATACAGAAAAAAAAAAAAAAAATTCTAGGAACTAAATATATCAAAATGCCAAGGGTAGTTATCTCTATGCAATGGGATGCCTTTTATGAGAAAAGGATTACTTTTATAATCAGGAAAAAATTCCCACTATTGTAATTTAAGAGATGCTCCTCAAAACACAGGAAAAGATGTTAAATCTAATCATTTTTTAAGCTAATACAAGCATAGTAACAAGCACTGACAGAGATAAAAGAAAAAAAGGAAGGTGTGTGCCAATTTCCCCTAAGGCTTATAAATGTAAATGTCTTCTAAAGGTGTTAGTAAACTCAGAATTACATTAAAAATGACAATATACCACCAACAGGTAGAATTTATCCTAGTAATTTAAGAATAATTTGAAGTTAAAACATTTAATAATAAAGCTAATAGTGTTAATAATTTAAAATAAATATGATTAATACATCATGGGAAAATTTACTAAAAATAAAGAAAGAGAGAAAACTAAGAATGAAAACCTACTGCCTTAACTGCAATACTATGTAACTTTGGTCTTAAGTTCTAACCAATGCAATAAGACAAGTTAAATATATTGATACAAGGGCTAAGAAGATGAAATTATTATTTACCGATTGATAACAATCAACTTGGAACAGTTAAGAGAAATAACTGTAAGATTACTAGAAAGAGGGGCCTCCCTGGTGGTGCAGCGGTTGAGCGCTGGGTTGCAAAGCTGCCCGCAGCCCCCCCACCCCCGCAGCCCCTGTAGCACCAGTTCGATCCCCGGCCGACACCGGGCGAGAGTCCCAAATGGAGCAACAGACCTCTCCTGCTACACCTGCTGCTTCCCTCAACAGTGTATTTCGTCAATCTGCCTGCCGTGCTCTCCCCTCTGGCTCTGGTGAATTCTCTCACCCTCCCGTGCTTGTACCCAGTGCTTGTATAAATAAATAAATAACTCTTTAAAAAAAAAAAAGATTACTAGAAACAAAAAAAATACAGTATAATGACGAATCATAAAGTGAAAAATTCAAGTACATTCCTAAATTTAAGTAACAGCTAAGGAGAAGTTTTCTACTTTTAAATGTCATTAACAATATCAACAAAATTTATGCCTGGCACACAATAACTGTGCAGGAAATACTGCTGAATGAGGAAAAGAAAATGCTCAATATTATAAAATGATAAACACACCCCAGTTTAGTCTATGCTATATACTTATTTAAAATTTGAATAATTTATACTACATTATTATTCAAAAATTCTCTTCCATTGGAAAGTAGGAAGTAATTGAGGTACACCACAAAATTTTTTGAAATAAATCTATATACAACTACTCTAAATGAAGGAAAATATAGAGAAATCAGAAATACAGGTAATGAAGGGAGTCTTAAACAATCAGATATTGAATCTATATAAAAAAATCTTCAAGAACGTGATGCTTATTAAACCAGTAATAAGCAGCTTTACTAGTGCAGCAGAACAGAGGCTTCAGAAATAATATAGTTGTATAAAATTCATGAATGAAACATGAGATATTTCATACCTTGGAGGAGAAGGGAATTAATAATTTAGCAACCAGTAAAAAAAAATAATTGCCAACAATAGACCAATATAAACTTCAAATATCTTAAAGAGTTCTCAAAACCACACTGAGATACCACCTTACACCAGTAAGAATGGCACATATCAAAAAAACAAGCAACAACAAATGTTGGCGAGGATGCGGCGAAAAAGGAACCCTACTACATTGCTGGTGGGAGTGCAAACTGGTCCAACCATTGTGGAAAGCTGTCTGGAGGTTCCTCAGTCTACTAAAAATGGAGCTACCATATGATCCGGCAATTCCAGTCCTAGGGATCTATCCAAAGGACACAAAAACAGTGATTCAAAAGAGCACCTGTACACCTATGTTTATTGCAGCACTATTTACAAGAGGTAAAACCTGGAAACAACCCAAATGCCCAAAAATAGATGACTGGATCAAGAAGATGCGGTACATATACACAATGGAATATTATTCAGCAATCAAAAAAGATAAACTCATGTCATTCGCAGCAACATGGATGGAGCTAGAAGGAATTATGCTCAGTGAAATGAGCCAGAAGGAAAAAGAAAAATACCGATGGTTTCACTTATAACAGGAATATAGGGGAACCAAGTAAGACATCAGTGTAAAAAATATAATAATAATAACAGTACAAAACACAACAAAGCAAAAACAGACAATTATAAATCAGAGACATACTGCAAGGGAGGAGAAGGGAGAGGGGTGAGAGGAAGGGAAGGAGGAATACAGGGAACTGTGATGATGGTGCATGGGTGCCTTGGAGAAGGAGATTCTATAGGGACTCAATCTGAGGGGGTGGGGGAAGCAAATATTGTTTAAAAAAATGTAAAAAATGATAAATTTTAACATTAAAAAAATGAAAAAAAAAGAGTTCTATGTGACTTTTTTAAAAGAGAAGAAAAACTTAAGTAAAATTTAGATAATTAGGTAAAATATCTATATAATCTCTGGGGCTGAAACATCTTTGTAAGCATCACCTTCCCCTCCCCATATATGAGAAAAGACAAAAATACTGGTAATTTCAAATAAAATTTTTTAAAACATGAATAGGTTTTTAAAAATGTCATTTATAAAATCAAAAGTCAATAAATACAAAAAGTATTTGTACCAGAGATGCCAGATGACGGCTTCATATACTTAATATATAAAGAACACTTAGCAATTAAAAAATAAGTTAGATTAAGGACACATACATACACAGGCAATTCATAAAGGAATAAATACAAACAATAAATATGTGAAATGATGTTCAGTAGTATATTATAAAAAATACTATTTTATACCTTCACCTACTAGAGTTAAAAAACATTCAAAGACAATCAGAATTCGTATAGAGATGTAATTATGATATATATGTGGCTTAAAATGTTATATAACCTAAATCCAGAAAGTCTACATTGACTTGGGCAATAATTTAGTAAGACTGAAAATTCTTTTATACTTAGAAATAATCTAACTGTCCAAGAATGACAATCCTAGTTAAAAAAACAATCAGAGATCTAAGTGTAAAAAACAAAACCATACATTTACTGGAAAGAAATAGGGATGAATTTCTTTATAGCCTGGAAATAGTGAAAACACAAGTGTAATTAAAGATTGATAGTCAAGGGCCTCCCCGGTGGCGCAGCGGTTGAGCGCTGGGTTGCAAAGCTGCCCGTAGCCTCTGCGGAGCCAGTTCGATCCCCGGCTGCGCCCCAGCCACTGAAGGAGGGTCCTGTATGGCGCGCAGACCTCTCCTGCCGCCCGCTGCTCCCCTCAGCAGTGTACTTCGGTCCTTCTGCCTGCTCTGCTCCCCGATCTGGTGAATTCTCTCACCCTCCCGCGCTTCTGACTGTACCTAGTGCTTGTATAAATAAATAAATAAATCTTAAAAAAAAAATTGATAGTCAACTTCATAAAAAAAAAGCTCACATGACATAAAATACCATAAGCAAAAATAACAATGAAGGAGGAGACATAATTACATGTCACAAAGAGCAAATCTCCCTAATATATTAGGAGATGTACAGAATTAAAAAGACCAATAACTCAATGGAAAAATGGGCAGAAGACAGAAAGGTAGTTCACATAATATACATAAATTGCACTTAAGCATATGAAAATATACTCTACTTATATGAAAAATGCAAATTTAAAAATACACAGAAATAAAATACCCTACTTGTCAGACTGACAAAAATTCAGAAGACTGTCAACACCTGTGTTGGCCAGCCCATG